AAGCTTAACTTTTTGTAACTGGTATGGCAGAGAATTCATGAAAGTTTAACTAAAATTTAATAGTCACAGGCCTAAGCATTTATTAGCCTCCTTTCTCATCCATCAAAGTTTAAGATTCAATTAAGTGTTTTGCTCTGCCAAAAATTGTACCAACAGTTTCTTAAAGATTCTTTCAGGGTTTTCATTTAAAATAAAGTGAAATAAAATGTGTGACTTCTATTTTGGCTTTAAACTCAGTTAAAGCTAACTGGAAGATACTTGATTTGGGCTTTTAATAATTTATTTCTACAAGCAACTTATTTTCCACGGAACTCTTTGGATGAATTCTATGCAAAATGTATTCCTTAAATAACCAAGGAAATGTATTTGCAATAGGGAACATCTGGATACAAATCCAGTAAATTTTGGAGGACAGCTGTCAAAAGCAATGACATGCGGTATTTTGCTGGGATGCAGAGGCCCCCTCTGGAACTGTATGCATGGGTCATGCACGACATTCACATTTCAAAGACAGTCACAAATCAGATTCACGAAATGAAGTGCCCCAGACACAATGGCTGCAAATATCAAACATGCACTTCCTTGTGCATCTGAACAAGGATGAGATTCTTCTTAGAAGACGGTTCTAGAAACAGGAGTTTTTCCTATTCAAAACATTACCTTTCTAGCAGCCCTTGATGTAGCTTCTTCCAGCTTCTAGCTACAAAGTCTATGCAAATGCACATGAGAAGAAAAAAACCCTAGCATCATGAAAAACCAGATAGGTTGTCAGCCTATTGATTGCAGGCATGCAGAGGGAATTTTATTTACCACAGAGGTCTGAGGGATGATAGAAACAGAAGGCAACGAGAGGAGCTCCAACTTAAGAAGACAGGCTATTTCTTTTATTCCAATTGTTCTCACTTCTAGCATGTAATTGAAGAATGTATATTCTCAAAGCAAAAGAGACTTCATTATGCTGAAGATTCCAAGGACTTGTCAGAGTCCCTTAACAAAAAGATATTCCCTTAACAAAGGAAACGCACCTATGTAAAATCTGGTAGTTTGGGAACCAGTAGTTGGCGTAATGGCCATGTTGCTGGATTTCCATGTAGTTGACTGCGGTTTGAGTCCTGGACCTGGTGGCTTAAACTCACGCTGGGTGCGTGTGCATGTGTGCCCAAGATCCCGAGAGGAGAATGGAGGAAAAGGGACTGTGTAGCCATCTCCCCTGGGGAGTGATTTCTTATTTTCTGTCTCTCTGTCTCTCTCTGCCTTTCTGGCAAGTGCACGTGCCCTATAGCAAAAACATGTCAAAAAAAAATCTGGCATTTTGATTGAGCTCAGTATCTGGTTTTGTTGTCGGGGCTCATGGCTGGTGGTCTGAGGTCAGGGCGTCTGCCCTCTCTCATTCAGCCACTTCTTGCAAAGGACTTTCTCTTATGATGTAGAATGTGCAAAGGATTTTTTTTTTTTTTCATAGAAATACAGAATCTGTTGCAGGGAAAGGGTGGAGAGCGTTAGGAGGAAGACATTGGTATGTCCACAAATACAGTCTGACCACATTTAAACCGTGTCCTAAGTGGGTGTTCCTTCTAGGAACGTAAGGTTGAATAAGTAGTAGGACATTAGATGTTCATGTCATATAATATGAGGTCTTAGATAAAAGCAATGCATGATTTCTACAGAGGGCAAAATGGCATCAATGTAATTAAATAATGGTTCCAGCGTTGTCATTTGTGGTACATTTTACAAACACCCCTGGGAGGTCAGAATTACTCTGCGTGAGTGTCCAATGCATACTCAAGGTCTGGAGAAGGAAAGGAGATATCATTATTTGAAACCATTTTTTTATGTGTGTATGTGTGTGTGTGTGTGGGGGTATTATCTAGACAGCCTAAAATTCAACTGAAATTCTGGTCTGTAATGAAAGTTCAGTGTGATGACTGGCTGCAGAACTCTAGCATTTTATATATTAATATAAATAATAATCACTAGTAAATATGATTTGTATTACAAGAATGGGCTGAAGACAGAATGTTGCTATTAATAGCTACAAAGAAAGTTAAATAGACAGGAATAAATTTATTGAGAAATATATCAGAACTATAACCCTGATTAAGAAGCAAAAATGTATTTTAAGAGAGGCATAGACAGCCCTTTCAGGAGTAAGAGAGGCACTGGGCTGTGCTGATGGGGATGCTGGGTCGAGGTCTCGAGTTGACAAGACCTGTGGGAGAGAGGGGAGGCCTCTAAGATTACAGGCAGAAGGCGGGGGCCAGGGAAAGTCGATTAGAGTGAGGGGATAGTGATGGGGGGAGCTTTGACGTGATAAAGATTGAACACCTGCCCTCTGTGTGGAGCTTGGGGAGAGAGCTGTGAACAATGCTTTTGTCTGTTTTGTTTAGAGTTTTCTTTTTATTACTTATTAAATTCTATTTGTCATCATTATTACTTATTTTAAAATTTGCTACAGAGCATGTGCATTCACCAGAAAGAGACAGAGAGAGAGAGAAAGAGGGAGGGAAAGTGAGAAAGCCCAGCCTGGACTTCAACTGCAGCCATGTGGGAGTTCCACGTCCTAACCAGCACACCACCTACTGGCCCCTCATTTAGAGTTTTTTAAAGTAGTAAGGTCTGCTAATGCCATTCTCTCCTGCCTCCCTTCCTCTTCTCTGCCTGAAAAAGTTTTGTAGTGATCAATATTGCTTTGCAGCCAGATTTATAACTCTTTTTTTTTGGAGTGGTTTTTGCTATAGGGTGTGTGTGCTTGCCAGAAAGACAGAGAGAGAGAGGCAGAAAGTGAGAAATCAACCCCCAGGGGGGATGGCCACGCCGCAATCCCTTCTCCTCCATTCTCCTTTTGGGATTTTGGGCATGCATGCACATGTGCCCAGCATGAGTTTAAGCCACTGGGTCCAGGATTTGAACCACAGTCGACCCCATGGGAGTCCAGTGACATAGCCATTATGCCAATTGCTGGTCCCTACAACATTTTTAAAATACATATCACTACCCTCAGGTCAGCATTAAGACAGGAGCAGAAAGTTCCAGGTTTATTTGGGTTATACAATAATCTCAGAAATAATAGGCTTCATCTGGACCAGCAGATGGAGCAATGGTTGTGTTGTTGGACTCCTAGGTAGTCAACTGTGGTTCAAGTCCCAGACCCAGTGGCTTAAAATTCATGCTGAGCATGTGGTGTGTGTGTATGTGTCTACTCAAGATCCTGAGAGAAGAATGGAGGAAAAGGGATTGCAGAGTGGCCACCACCTGGGGTGTGTGTGTGTGTGTGTGTGTGTGTGTGTGTGTGTGTTATTTCTTACTTTCTCTCTCTCCAGCGAATGCATGCACCTTTAAAAAAAATCTCCTCTCTCTCTCAAAAAAAAAAAAAAAAAAAAAAAAAAAAAAAAGAAGAAAAGAAATAAGGCTTCATATAAAATTTAATTCTCTGTTTCTGAGTTATGGTCTTTTACTCTTTTACTAAGATAGTGTTGATATAATAAATGAAACAAAATGGTTATTTGAATTATACTCTTTTGTTTCCCTTATACTTGGATAATTTGCACAGGCATACCTTGAGGCCAACATGCAGAGTGATTCAGTAAATTCTCTCAAAGTACTGGAAAGATGGTCTGAGTAAGACATTTGATGATATTTTTGTTGCAGTCACTGTCTTTGCTGAAGAATTTTTTGGTTAGAGTGACATCTAATTTAATGGCTATAGCACAATGTATTTACTGCAGCAAAATTGTCATTTCCATGTCAAGCCTGTAAAACTTCCTTTTTTAGCTTAAAACAAGTTGTTTTTTCCATTTCTTGTTTAGGAAGGCTGAAAATGATTGGGATAAATATGAAAATAGAACTATTGGTCTAGCCATAGTGGTACCATAAGAGCGAGTGACACAGATCTGAGATGCTGGAGCCACATGGGAGTCCTAGGTTCAGATCCCAGGTTGATCTGAACACACCAGACTCATCTGCACATGCCTGTGATCCTGGCTGGCTAAGGCTGGGGGCAGGATTGTGGCATGGTGAGACTCTGTCAGGGGTACCTGTCTCTCTTTTTCTTTTCTATGAAAGAAAGAAAAAAAGAGAAAGAAAGAAAGAATTACAAGAATAGAATGAAGAAAATCTAAAAATGCAGGAGTAAATTTATTGAGACATATATTAGAAATATAAAACCTGATTAAGAGGCAAAATTAGGGGCCAGTAGGTAGCATAGTGATTAAGGTGCTGATCTCTTACGTGGACCACCATGGTTCAAGTCTTGGACCTGATGGCTTGAAACTTATGCCAGTCGTGTGTGTGTGTGTGTGTGTGTGTGTGTGTGTGTGTGTGTCCAGAATCCTGAGAGGAGAATGGAGGAGAAGGAATTGTGGTAATGTCCATCCTCCCTGGGGAGTGATTTCTTGCGTGCTCTCTCTGTGTGTCACTCTCTGTCTCTCTGGTGAGCATACACACCCTATAGCAAAAATCTCTCTCAAAGAAAAGAGGTGAAAATGTATTTAAGAGAAGTATAGACAACCCTTTCCTCTTTCGGGAGGAAGGAAGGCACTAGGCTATGTTTATAGGGATGCTGGGTGGTGATCTTGAGTTGGCAATACCTGTAGGAGATGGGGGAGCTCTTCTTTAAGGTTAGTGGCAGGAGGCTGGGGTCAGAGAAAGACAGGGAGGGTGAGGAGACAGTGGCCATGGGTGGAGCTTAGAAATGATAGACATTGAACACCTACCCTCCATATGGAGCTTGAGGAGAGAGCTAGGAAAGATGCTGGGAAAGAAAGAGGAAAAAAAAAAAAGAGTGAAAGAAAGAACTATAACAATGAATGTTTGAATTAAACTGTGAAAAAACACGAACTATGTCTCTCAAGTACGGTTTCAACCAGTTTATGAAGTGCAGTGATTGAATTATCCAGCATCGGTATTATAAAGAGTAGTGGTGCTCTTGTACTTTGAGTTTCACAACTAAAGCATGTATTTTAGAGGACTCAGGTGGCATACTCTGTGTTTTCGTGTTTTAGGCATCTTTTTCCTGTACCTGTGAGGACCAGTACGTGGGTACTTTCTGTGAAGAATACGATGCTTGCCAGAGGAAGCCCTGCCAGAACGGAGCAAGCTGTATTGATGTGAACGAAAAACACGATGGAAGCAACTTCACCTGCGTTTGCCCTGCAGGTATGGTTTCCATTGCTAACAGTCACAATGTAGTCTCTATAGAAATACACTAATTAATTAAAGAGGGTTAAATAATACCTTGTCCAGGGGATGGACAGAGCAACTTTAAGATCTCATTGGATTCTGTCAGTCCATACTTGACATATTCAGGGAATGAGTGGAAAAGGGAGTTGGTATGGGGTTAATATTATGTCCGTTGGCCTGCTTTCTAACATTAAAACGCTTCTGTCTCTGCATTCTACAATTTTTGTTCTGGGAAAATGATATTCTTGGTCAAATAGAGGCCAGATGTTTCAAAAACAATTCCACAAATGTGAAGTGGATGTGGGCTGGTACTGCGCTGGGCGATTATGTTAGGTCAGTACATACAACCTTGTTCATTTTAACAGCGACACAGTGTGTCTCATAGACTTGTATCTCTAGCTCAGACTCCACCAGGGCTACTGATCTGACAGCCTCCTTGGCATCCATTTAGATGTTCCAGGTGCCCTGAGCCCAGTCGTCCCCGAACTGAACCCGTCATTCCTCCACACCCCCACAGCTTGTCTTCCAATGTTCCATCCATTTCTACAAGTCATGATGAGTGTCCCCTCTTTCTTTCTGCCCATGTCCTTTCTGTCTCCAGGGCCTCCCTCTTACCCCCTGAAGACCTCTCAAACCCACCACCCTCTCTGTAGCGCCACTGCCACCGCCACTGGGCCAGCTGCCTTGCTCCTTGACTCTGCTACTGCACTAGCCTCCCACTGCTCCTCCATCAGCAGCTACACGCTGGACCAGGGTAATGGTGCCAGAGCGAGCCTGGGCTTTCATGGCATTCGAGTCCCCATACCCTTAATTCTTCACATGGTCACAGGGCATTGTCTTCCTCCCAAACCTGGCATAGTCTTTTTCCTGCTTAAACATCTTCTTCCCATTGCTCTTTGGACAAAACTCGATTTTTTCAGTCTCATTCTCTTCAGTCCAGTCCTCTTATCAGTCCATCCTTCCACCTCCCATTTCCATGTAGAGGTAGCCATCACCCCGGATCTTGAGTTGATCAGTCCTTTGTTTTCCTTTTTAAATAGATATATATTTAATATATATACATACATATGTGTGTATATATATAACTTAATGTATATTATATCAGTTTTGAGTTGATTTTTGTATATGGTGTGAAATAAGGGTTTAATTTCATTTGTCTGTACATGGATGCTTAGTTTTCCCAACACCATCTATTGAAGACTGCCCTTTCCCCACTGCGTATTCTTAAAAATCACTTGACTATAAATGCATGGATTTTTCTCTAGGCTGTCTACTGTGTTCCATTAGTCTATGTATCTATTGTTAAACTAGTACTTTGCTCTTTTGATTACTGTAGCTTTGTCGTATAGTTTGAAATCACATAGTGTGATGCCATAAACTTTGTTCTCTTTTCTCAAGATTGCTTTAGCTATTCTGGGTCTTTTGTAGTTCCATACATATTTTAAGATTTTTTTTTTCTGTTTTTGGGAAGAATGTCATTGTTATTTTGATAAGATCACATTGCCAGAGGTTTGGACTTCTTTGGGACCTCTCCTTCTTTCTCTCCCTTCTTCCCTTCCTTCCAATTCTCCCTTTTGGAATGGAAATGTCTATGACTGTCTCTTCTACCATTTTTGTTTTGTAAGCACATAGCTTCTCTAGCTTCATAGGTTCATAGCTGGAGAGGAATTTTGCCTCAGAATAAATTTATTCTTTTTTTTTTTTTTTTGTGTGTGTGTGTGTGGAGAACACTGACCAATGAAAATTTTGGTACCAAAAAGTGCTATGGCAATATAGCAAATACCTAAACATAACAGAAGTGGCTTTGGATCTGGGTAGTGGGAAAAGGATGGAGGAGTTTGAGGGTGTACGTTAGAAATAAGATGTTAAGGTCGATTTTGGTGAGGGTTCAGATAGAAATGTGGACCATGTTATTGCAAAGTAGAGGAAAGGCAATCCTAATTGTAAAGTGGCAAAAAACTTGGCTGAACTGTGTTTTCATATTTTTGGAATGTAGCATCTGCAAGGAATGAAATGAAATATTTAGCTGAAAAGATTTCCAAGAAAGTGTTTAAGGCCTGGATCCTCTTGACTACTTACAGTAAAATGCAAAAGGAGAGAGATGAATTGAAAAAGAAATTGTCAAACAAAAATAAATTGGAACCTGAAGAGTTAGAAAATTCTGACTATCCATATTGCAAAAAGTGAAAAAGCTCATTCTAAAGAGAATACTAAGGGTGTGGCCAAGCAATCTTATTTTTTAAAAAAAAATTTATTTAACTTTATTTATTTACTTATTTATTTTAATTTAACCAGAGAGGGACAGAGTGAGAGAGTGAGTGAAAGAGAGAGAGAGAGAGAGAGAGAGAGAGCAAGCAAGCCACCAAGTCCAGGGCTTGAACTGCAGTTGGGCATGTGGGAGTCCAGTGCCTTTAACCACTATGCCACCTGCCAGCCCTCAAGCAGTCATTTGATAAATAGATCATAAATGTGACTCATGGATTTAGTCAGCCATCTCAGCAAATGCCAGGGATAGAGATGGGATTTGAGCAGCAGCGACACGGCCAGTTTGAACTAAAGGGGGCAGAGAAAGTGGATGGAATGAAGACAGGCTACCATACTCCTTGGATAATACAGGACCAAATGATAGAACTCCTGAGAGCTAGTCCACCATATTCTAGGCCTAAAGGCCAAGGTTATTTCCTCCTTAATTTCAAAGTGTGGGGAAGCCTCGTAGATTTTGAAGAACCAAGACAACTCAGAGGCAGGGCTTCCCTGAAAAGCTGTGGGGGTGACATTGGGATTTCATGGCCTGGACAGCAGAGTACTAAACCCAGGAAGATTGTTCCTAAGCCTTAAGATCCGGTGGAATTTGCTTGCTAGTGGATTGGAATTGCTTGAGACCCCTCCCTCTCTTCTCTCTCCCACCCTCCTTTTCTTCTTTCTTTCCTTCAATTCTCTCTTTTGGAACAAAAATGTCTATTATATGCCTGTCCCACCATTGTGTTTGGGAAGGACATACCTTGTCTGGTTTCACAGGTTCACAGCTGGAGAGAAATTTTTCCTGAGGAGAAACCGTACATGATGTCTCATCCATATTTGGTTTAGATAATAAATAGTTTCGATTTCGGACTTTAGACTTCAGATTTGATGCTAGAAGGAGTTAAGACTTTTGGGACTCTTGGAGTGGAATGAATATATTTTGCTTGTGAGAAAGATGTGGATTTGGGAGGATCAAAGGTAGACTATTATGGACGGCATGCCACTCCCCACCAATTCAGGTGTCGATGCTCTAACTCCCACCGTGACTGTGTGGTGATAGGGTATTGGGAGTAACTAAGGGTAATGAGTCACAGGAGTGGGGCCCTAATCTGATAGGACTGTGGCCTTGTAAGGAGAAGGACACAGAGACCTGCCTCTCTGCCGTGCGAGGGCACAGTGAGAAAGTAGCCATCTGCAAGCCGAAGAGAGAGAATTCTTCAGAACCTGACCGGCCCGGGACTCTCATCTCAGACTTCCAACTTCTAGAACTGTGAGAAAACCAACTTCTGTTGTTTAAGCTATCTGGCCTATCTTTTTATTATTATTATTATTACTATTAAGGACGGTCTGGGCTATCTAATATGGGGAAGAGGGAATCTTCAAAAAGTTCACAGAAAATGCATATTATGAAAAAAACCATACATGGGTTTCCAATTTTTTTTGCATTAAAATAAATTCAGACTTTAATGCCACTTTTCTGTGAACATTTTGAAGTTCCCTCATACAATATTTTATTTAAAAAATTATAACATATTGTTTAAGAGCACAGACTCTGGAGTAAGAATACCCAGGTTGCAGTGCTGAATCCCATGCAATTAGGCTTTAATTAATTATTTAAAAGTATTTTTGTCATAGAGCACTTGTGCTCAACAGAGAGGGGCAGAAAGAGAGTGAGAGAGAGAGAGAGTGAGAAATCATCCCCTAGGGAGAGTGGCCAAACTGGAATCCTTTCTCCTCCATTTTCCTCTTAGGATTTGGCGTGTGCACACTTACACGCCTGGGATGTTTTTCAAGCCACCAGGTCTGGGACTCCAATCACACAGTTTAGCCATGTGAGATCAAGTGTCTTAACCCCCACATCACTTGCTGACCTACCACATAATTAGACTTTAAATGTGAGCTATTGTTCCTGTTTTCTTCCCCCATGGAACCACAATTTCTCATTCAGAGAGAGCCTTCTTGCTGCTTGAAGTCACATGAGTCCTGAGTGCTACAGCCTGCAAACTAAGATGCTTGTTCTAGCAGCCTGGATGGACAAAGGTGCCCTAGAACCTAGAGCTCACCTGTCTTGCCAGACCACAGCTCTGGGGCCAGCAGCCCAAAGCCCACTTCCACCCTTCCTATTTTCTAGCTGGGCTCCTCGACTCACTCTATCTCTGTAAGATAAACCTCAGCACAGCTGAGAGTGAGGCCTGACCAGGAACGCAAGCTCCAGAAATGGAAGCACATGGTTGATTCTGGTGACCGCATCTCCAGCGTCTGACCCAGAGCCTGATGCACAGTAGGTACTCAGTAGACACCTGCTGAATGAATGAGTGAATGGAATGAGATAGAACTGCATGTGAGCCATCCAGGTACGTAGTAGGGCTCTGTCTCCTTGTTTCTCCTCCCTCTGCCCTCTCTCCCTGGGCTTCCCTCTGTGACACAGGCTGTGTTATTCGCCTCCCACATGGCGTCGTGGCTGGCGCGAAGGCAGCCAGGGTTACATTCTATTCTTTATTTCTAATCCCTGTGCCTTCCATACAGTAGACACGCAACGCACGATTAAGTTGAAAATTAACTTCTTTCGTCGGGATCTATTTTATAAAAGCCATCTAATTTCAAGGATGTAATTTTTCCTCAAAGGAGCTGTTTCTTTTTCTGAAAAGAAGAGCTGGGATACACGTTTTGAACCACCACTGCCAAAATATTATTAGCATTATGCAAAGCATTTTCCAACTTCAAAGCATCACATT